TATACAGGGTGTGTCCTAGTACCCGTATCACCCGTAAATGGCAGATAGACCGGGCCAAACTGAATAGAAAATTCCTATATTATTGTGCAAAATTCGCAATAGTTATCGAGAAATTAATTTTAATGTCTGAGCGAATGAGAGCGTAGAAGGCGGCAGGCCGGACTCGGCAGGCAACGGTGGGGCATCATCTAATAGCGAGAGGTGGAGCGACGCGCCGAAAAAAAGTTGTCACGCAGCGAGCGGCGAGCTTCATAGCCCAGTGAAATTAGACATTTTCTTCGGAAAAATTCCCATAGGGCTGAATTTTGGTATACAGCGAGATATTGTCCTTTGAAACAATGTCTCAAAAGTCCCCATCGATACCACCCCTGCTAAAAATTTTATAGAGGGTGAAATGGGGTAAAAAACAGTTTTTCGCGAATATCTTTGAAAATATTGATTTTTCGGCATACATAGTTATTATGAAATTTGTAGCTTATGAAATTTGCTACAAAAAAGGTCTTATTACTTATTTTACCAGAACCAACCGTTTTTTTAGTAAAACGGTTCACAAAGTCCCACCCTCATACTTTATCGATAAAATGTACTCTTTTCCACACCACCGTTGAGGTAGAGTACTAGGCGCGTTTTTTTTAATGTGGTGTCCCCAGTAGGCCTAATCCACATTTTTTTCGTACTGTGAAATTAATTTTCTGCTTCTTCTGCAATTTCTGGAGCCTCCTCAATTGTAATGAACGCCTCTGCGTCCGTCTCTTCCATTTCTACAGTTTCCGCTAAGAAATCTGTCGGATCACGTTCTTCATCGATGTCAGCATAGGTCTCTTCCATGGTGACTGCTGTTGCATTCAAGCAAGACCGGCCACGACAATTACCACACACTGCTGAACAGTGCAAGCCAATTTTTCTGCAACCACAGTTAAAGCCGCAGCCTTTCGAGCAATTGCAGAAAATAGTGTTCAATAGTATGTCTGGAGCAGAGGGTAAAAGAGTTTTAATCGGCTCCAAACTTTCATTTACGGTCATCCATCCCCAGTCTTCGGGATTGAGGTCGTTCCCAAGCCATTTTTGCACTTGATAATACACTCGAAATAGATGTTGTGCAGCACTCGATGTTGGAGGAAGTGTCGATAATTTTACAGGCTTATTGAATCTTGTTAATTTTACAAATGAACAGTATCGTAAATTATCTATTGATATTTCGTTGTGTGAAGCACCGTATATTGCCAAAATAAAGCGTATTCCATTATCAAAAATCAATTGTGGTGAACATTGTGTAATTTTGAAAACCTCTGCACAATTCGTCAAATCGCTCCGTTTTTCAAATATTCCTAAAGCTTTTGTTTTTCCCTTATTAAATAATGAAGACGTTGTATCGCACCCAGTAACTACATGTAAAAATAAAATATGATCTTTACTTTTTTGGAATGAGTCAAAACTTTTTGAAGAATATATTTTTGTTTCGGTTTTTGCTTTCCCTGGCTTGAGAAAATAAATTTCTTTATCGGCTGGAGTTCGTGCAATCAACAATGTTAATAAATCGACGTCTTCACCTACAACGATAGTTTTATTTTCATTACATTGTTCCAGTGCTGTTTCAATAATTAGAACGTCAGCATCATCTTCAGCCTGTTTTACGTTGATGTTAGCAGCTTCAAATTTTTCGGATAACATAGAAATAAATGTACTTTTGTTCTTTTTGTTCGAAAGAAATTTTTCTTGGCTCATTGGAACTTTCATTGAAGCATCAAATCGGACTTCAGTAGACACAGGAAATTTAGCAGATCGACGACGTTGCTCCATAGCTTTTATATTTTTCCTATTATCATTATAACCGTCAAATACAATAAATACGTTAGGACCGAAATGTTTCCGTACGTAATTAATGTATGTCTCAAAAATGCAATCGAATTCAGTTTCTGGGTTCCATGACACGATGTATAAGAAATCCTCCATCAACGATGTATGGTATTATCTGTAGAATTGAAGTCAACAACAATTGGTTCGAAACAATCGTAAAGAGATGATTTTTTAGTTTTACGCATCCCAATATCATCGAAAAGTGCTAATGGATATGGAGCTAGCTCATATCGTAAGAATTCTTGAAGTTCGTCATCAAATTTTTTCGTTATACAAATTCGTTGGAATAATAAAAGTGGATCAATAGCCACTTTTGTATCGTGAACTTTCATAGAACTGGAGACCGTTAAAAGTGGAAAAACTCTCTTTGAGCGTTTCGACTTAACGTTATAAAATTGCTCACCAATCATACTTCTCATAGAGATAAGGCCAATTTCATAAGCCTTGTGACAATTTATTTTATCATCTCCGACGATTCCACAATCTATAGCCATAATTTGATTCATTTGCGGAAAGGGATTATGGGATGTAAACCATTCTATCAATTTCTGTACATCTTCATTATCTCTTTCAATGCGGGAATCTCTTGCATCGACATGCTGATCTACTGTATCCAGTTGAACATTACAAAGTTTTTCTATTCCTTCACACACATTATTCATCGCATGCATGCCATAAATCCACTTACATAGTACACTTGCTTGAGTACTTCTTCCTCGTGAAACACCCCCCTCCGTTTTCATTGATTTCATTAATGATTGTTCGATGACCATGTCGCTCCAAGTTCCGCAACTGAATTTATTTGAACGTCGAATTGTAAAGAATCCATTAATAAACTTCTCAAAAACACTCTTTTCCATGCTGTTTTCTAATTTTATCATATCCTGGAGATACAAGTGCGCGGATTTGGCATAAAGAAAATGTCCTGACGCGTGAAAGTATGGAAGCATATTTTTAATCGAATTCAAATGTGCTTGCCAATCTCCCATTCTTTCAGACCTTATGAATTCTTTTGCAATTGATACCATCCGGAAATATTGGACCCATAATTTTGCAGTGGGGCCTCTTTCTTCATACATACGTATAGGGAACTGAGACAAATAATAAATCATTCAAAAACTATTAGAACCAATGCTAAAAATTATATTTTTTGTATCATGTTTTTCAAACATGTAAAAGTTTTCTGCGAAGTTTTGAAACGATTTGCTTGTTTTGCAATTATTAAAGAAAGCGCTATGAACATCAATTGACGCGATATCGACGACGGAACGTGACAACGCCGCATCCCGACTTAATCTTTCAAGCTAAAAAATTTTTACACTTTCATTAAACTCAAATTCTATTCAAAATAAACAATGCTTTAAAATATGATTTTATTAAAGGTAGGTAAGGAGAAACAGCCAATGCGAGCCCACAGCAGGTGTCCGTGCGAAATTGTCAATGTTTTTTTAAAAACAATTTAATAAATAATCCAAACGTTTCGACCCGTTTTTGGGTCATCCTCAGTGAAGCTGGGATAAAAGATATGATACATAGTGTTAAACAACTTTACAAAATATTAATATAAATTTGCGAAAAAATACAATGAATTTTTACCTGATTGGATACATAACTTAAGACCACTAGTTGAAACTGTCAGAGGATAATAGGATAAAACATAGAAAAACGTTAAGAAAGTTTACATGGAATTAATGTTTCTAAATGTTGATTTAATTTTCCTTGCTTACTGGGTAGTATCAGTGGCACCTTGCAGCAATATTACTGCAAGATTGTCACAATATTGCATTCCAATATTGTTGCAATATATCAGAAATATTGCTCACGCAACATTGCAATGCAATGTTGCTGCAATATATCAGCAATATTGCACTGCAAATACAATATGACAATATTGCTGCAATATATCGTGCTGTTAGGGATTAGTTATATAACTGTGTCGACTGGGCTCTCTTTTAAATCGACATCTGGTAATCCCGTGATTGACTCTCATATTAAAAAATGTGCCAGAGTCAGTGGTTGCAAATCATTTGGGCTCGATGGAAATTGGCACAGCGGTCTAGAATTTAGACATGCCTCAATTTGAACCAGAACCGTGCTGAGCTCCTCGAATGTGAGCACAGTCTCCCCAATTACTCGCTTTAAATATTTACAGGACTTGATGCCAGCCTCCCATAGACCACCCATGTGAAGCGCATGAGGTGGAATCAAGCTCCATTGAATCTCGTTTAACGAGCAATATTCGTTTACGGGCTCCCCGAAGGAAGTTCGAATCGCCCGATACAATTCGGCAAGCTCTCTCCCTCTCGCTCTGCACCCACAAAGTTGGTCGCATTGTCGCTATAGATCTTTCGCGGGCATCCGCGTCTCCCAGCAAGACGACGCAACGCCGCGATAAACGCATCCGATGATAATTGACTAACGGCTTCTAAATGGATTGCCTTTGTAGAAAAATATATGAATAAGGCGATATAAGACTTGTTGGTCTTTCGTCCTCTATCTTTACTCATCGCGGTGATAATCGGCCCTGCATAATCGATACCCACTACAGAAAAAACTCGTCGACAGCCTGTCCTATCCAACGGCAATGATCCCATGATCTGTGTCAGTGGTTTAGGATTATTACGAAAACACGTCGTGCATCCCCGAACTACCTTTCGAGCAATATTGCGACCGTTCAATGGCCAATATGTTCCTCGAATGGAAAAAAGCAATGCTTGCGGGCCTGCGTGGAGCATGCGACTATGTTCCCGTTCGAATAGACAAACCGTGAACCGACATTTGGCAGGCAACAAAATGGGATGCCTGTTTTCGTACTCTAATAATGACTTCTGTAATCTACCGCCCACCCTGAGGACCCCGCTCTGGTCGATAAATGGGCTCAGACTCGCCAATACGCTGCTTGATTTTATTTGACCCCCATCGGATATGTCCCGTATTTCTTGAGCGAATGCGTGTCGCTGAACATGTTTGATCAGCTCTAACCGTGACGAATATATCTCGCCTACCCATAACGGTTCCAAATTCCGCTTCGAAGGTCTGAGTCTACAATTCGTTATGAACCGATAACACCATGCTAACGTTCTTTCCATTTTTGTGGCAGATGAAAATTATACATGATACCTCCAACTAACGATTCACTTCCTTCTCGTGTGATCAAGGCTTGCAATTTGCCTTTTTCCTCTGATTGCATGATCTTAACCTCCTGTTCGTTCATTTCACCTTGCCGATATTTCGGAATTTCAAATCGTCCGGAAAGCCATGGTGGACCGGATCACCATAAAGAACTCGACTCTAGGTTGCCCAAACTTGTCCCGCGAGAAATTAGATCCGCCGGATTCTCTCTGCCTTCTACGTGATTCCAATGATTTTTAGGTAAAATTGATTGAATTTTTCCGATCCTGTTGGAAATGAACGTTTTTTGACGACTAACGTCGCCGGCTATCCAGGCCAATACAATCATGAGGTTTGTTTTCTTTAAATATTTCTTTAAATATTTGTTCACATGCCTGTTCTTCCTTTGTTAATTCTACGGACTTATGTGCATCGCAATGTCAAAAGCCACAAAAATGTATCGGTGGAAAGGTAGAATAATTAGCGAAAGTACGTATCGAAAGAGACTTGCGCAACTAAGATGTGGGTTTTTGAGAAAAAAAAGTTCAAATTGTGCGAGAAGAAAAAACTGAGCCCACCATGGAGGAAAATGTGATAAAACGAGACTTTACGACGTGACTGTATCGGTCAGGTTATTCGCTTGGCACGTTCAGCTGATTGCGACGTTGCCGCACTTCCACAGTCCAGTAATTGACATATTACAGAAACCGCAAAATTGTCATGAATAATAAGTAATTTCTCCTAAACCGTGTTGTGAAACCTAATCGAATTTTGCACAAAGTTCCAATAATCCATGGTCTATATGTATAAAAAAAATTAAAATTTTGGTACTATTTTTTCTATACTTTATTACTCATTTCGTTCAAGAAAATTGCGTTTCCCATAAGAACACGCGTAAAATTAAACATAATTGAAATAATAATTACTTTCTAACGATTTAGAAAATCTACTTAAAATTTTTTCAGTATATTAGAGATAACAAAGGAAGTGTTTCCTGAAGTTTCAACATATTTGGTACTATTTTGAAATAGCTCAGATACATCCTTAAAAAGTCATGTGACATTATCTCGTGCTACTTTGTATCTGATATATTGCAGCAATATTACTGTTATATGTATTACTGTATAATATAAAGCAATATTACTGTTATATTACTGTGTAATATTTATATGTCATATATCAGAAATATTAATGTGATATTGCGATGTATTATATAAATGTATTATACCAGTAATATCACTGCAATATTATAATATTACTGATACATTACGTAATTGTATGTGATATGTGGGGACTTTATCGACAATGCTTGAAAATTGGCGTAGCAGAGTAGTTCCAAAAATAAAAGTAGGTATAAGGCATTGAAAACCGTCTAGCAACAAGGTAAGAAGTAAAAAGCCGGCGTGGTCGCTTTCAGTTTTTCTCTGGAGAAACCGTTAGCAGTGTTGCCGTTTGAGAACGTCAGCCCCGTCGCGACAGCGGTAGTGGGGATGGAATGTGGAAAGGTATCGTTCGGCAAACAGGCTACCTGCTGTATACAGGGTGTCGGATTCGATTTGGACCACTCCAAAGATTATAATAGATTGGGTCAAACTGAGAAGAAAAGTTATATACCATTTTACAAAATCCGTAATTATTATCGCGTAATTAAGAAAAACGTCTGAGCCAATAAGTGCACGGAGGAGCTGAAGGCCGGACTCGGCAGACATGCAAAATGGTGTATTATTCTCCTATCACC